AATATATATGCTTTTAAGAGGAATATTTTTTATCATAAAGTGTTTTCTGAATCTTCTAACTTTTCAAACTTTTCAAGAATCCAATTCCAAAAATTATTCAAACCATGTGGAATGCACCTTACCTCTTGCTGGATTTTGTTCATATAAACGCAAAATATTTAGATCACCAACATGGAATTGTGCCCTAAACGAAATGGCTACCCATGCATTTAATCCATCTTTTAATTCAATATTTAAACCGCGTCATTCTTCTCTTGAATGTCCATTCTCTTACCTAGTTGAAGAAATATTGGTTTTAAAAAATAATAGCATTCAACTTAAATTTTTTGAGATTATTTGGTTCAAAAAGCTGACAACATTTAAGCTTGACACTTTCGTAAGACAGAAATACATAGAACGACTGCTTATACTGATGTTTTTGTGAATGTAATTCTTATCACAAATGATAATTTATCAGATAATAGAGTCAGAATAGTGGCTATTGCAATCATACAGTGTGTCATTGTTAGTTATCTCGGATTAGTAGACTAAAAAAGACGAGATATAGATTAAGCTACTGGAGATCAATTCTCAATTATTTTGATCTTACTGCGATTGGACTTGCATTTGCAATGGTAATTCAAATATTTCTCAATAAACAACTATCAAAATTCCATTTTTTAAAAAAATTTGGTGTACTGCTAATTGTATTAGTTGATATGATCAAGTGAGTTTCTTTATTTTAGTATTAGTTGCTGCTTTACTTGTGGGTTTTGCATTTATACCATTATTTTTACTTCGAAATGAGTCTGGAGTAGACCAAAACAACTTTGTAGATTTTGGGACCACTTTAATAGAAATGGTTAAGTTTCTCGATAATAATTCTGACTCTCTTAAATCCTGGGAATATTTATCATCTATTAAAATTGCCATACTTCTTTTTATACTATTTGTTGTTTTATTGTTTAATAATGCACTTATTTCATTATTGAGTATAAATATTGAAGCTACGTTTGAAAAGGTAATATGATTTATATAAAACAAAAGAATTGAATAATGTAATTTCTAGTCTTATACTTTTGATTTTAGGGCGAAATTAAATTGTACAAAAAAATATTAGATTTGAATATTGATGTTGAGAAGTGTCTTTTAACTTCTGGGGAGAGAAGACGACTAGATTGGTTTCCAACTTGGTTGACATATATTGTGAATGAAGATGAAAGAACAGAATGGGAAAAATGGATGAAAAAGAATGAAAAAGAATGGAAACATGTTCTAGCAGATAAGTCTAAATCGAATAACAATGAAAGTAACAATGATATTTAATTTGATTCATTTATTAAATTACAATTATAAAAAAAAATACAAACTTTTTAGCAGTCTTATTATGTATAAACACTTTCATTTGAATAGAAAATTTATTCCAAAATATTGCTTTGAGCAAATTAATCGTATTAAATCTTTATACAAATAGAAAAATATTACACATGGTAATTTATTGTATTATTATTAATTATAATTTAATTAATTTAATTCAGTAATTATAAAATGCACCATAGGTGTTGTTGGTGTTAATATGTTTTTGGCTAAAATTTAGCGTTAGGGTGCAACTTTAGAGTAAGAAAGGGGTTCAATATAAAGGTTCAAATTTTAGTTAGCATAAGGTTTTTGGGGTTCTGAACATTTTTACTTAATACCTCAGAGATGTGTTAGCTAGTACGTTTTTGAGATATAGCAACTATGGTGTTCAACACCTATGGTGCATTTTAGTAAGCCCGATTTAATTAATTAATTAATTATTTAATATCATCATTAGAAAAATAAACAATTAACTGTTATTAATCAAATGTTTATCTACTTTCCATATTTTCCATTGTTGGTACTACAAAATTTTACTCTGTTACTCTTATAAAACAAGTTATAAAAGTCCTAATAAAAAATTTAGTGACTAACTTTGCTTCATCGAATCCGGCCTCTAAAGATCTAATTCTTTTCAATTAATTTTAAAACTGCATATAATATTAAAAAATTTTTCATTTAATGCATTGGGGATTCAAAATTATTAATACAAAATTGCATATTTCATAAAATAAATAAAAGTTTTCAAATAGTATTTTGCTATATAAAATTATAAATTGGAAAATGAAGATATTTTGATTTTAATTTACAGATATTTCTTTTCATCTAGATCTATTTTGCGATCAGTAAAGTGTTACAAGTAGGGATGCTATTCTGCTTAAATCTGCTAGTTTGTGCTTTGAAACTATATTCAAACACTGTTTGGAAATACATATTTAGATTGGGTTCCAAGTTAGCTTTAAGCTATTTATATGCATAACTATTAATTATACATGCCTGAACATGTTAGTTTAAAACCTGCTATATATTTATTTATTATATAGTATATAATTAGTGATTTGAACCGAGAAAAAATTCTTTAATCGGTTAACTGAACCAAAATATTTGACATCAACTAATTGCAACCGGCTAAGATTACTTCACGCTTTACCTTCGGAAATTCTCAGACATTTACTCAAATTCTTGCTTCATTATTTTTGTGTTCATTCATTTTGCTTTTTGGAACCTTTTGGAACCCTTGCTCATTGCTGATACAATTTACATTATGTCAACAGTTGTACAGGTCAACTGATTAAGGACTTACTCAATCAGTTACCTGAAATTTATTCGGGTCAGGTCGGTTAACTGATTATAGCCCAACCAGTTCAAATCACTATATATAATATATTATGTATACATTTCACTTAATATTTATTATATCAATATTTACATATTATATTAGCATTGCAATAATGTATTTTATTTATTTATTGACTCTCTATATATATTCAAAAATGCCTAATTCATACCATATTTTTAAACAAAGGTTTGTAATAATGTTTTTTCCAAATAAACAATTATATATTAGATTAATTGTATTTTTGCTTGTGCTTGTTAGACATGCTTATGACATGTACAACCAAATAGTTATGTGCTATTTGATTAAGATCAGCATAATATATATTAGATAAATGTATACAGTTAAACCCCTCTATAGTCACCTCCTCTATAGTCACAAAATTGGTATAATTACAAATTTATTTTTACCAATTATTTATAACTATATAAAAAATACTTCTATATTAGTTACACCTCTTTACAATCACAGTTTTTAATATCCTGAAGATGTGACTATAGAGGGGTTTGACTGTATTTCAGAATTGAGAAAATTACAATTTTTTTAGTATCTGTAGAAAATTCTTTAAAAACATTATTTGATTTCTTATTATAATATTTCTTGACAATTTTTTTAAGTAATATTTAAGAAACCAATTTCTTTGTTTGTATATTTTAAATAAAAATTATATTGTTGTTATTTTATTATTATATATTGATAATTTTATGCTTGGATCTAATACAACAAATATAATATAACAAGTTTGAAAACTGATCTAATAAATATTAAGTTTTTTTGTATATTTATTGTGCAATTTAATTTTTATTTGAATTTCATTATTTAGTATATTATACAAGATATTTAAAATAGTTAGAAATATTAAATAAAATCTTCTATTGTTAAAGATATTAAAAAAAACAAGATAAGTATTGATTAGTTATAGACTTAAGTAGTGTAATAATTACTTAAAATTAATAATTGTTGTAATTATTTTTATTAATTAAATATATGAAATTTTTTTTTTCACTTAGACCATCTTGCCTTTAGTCTC